GGGGGGGGGGGGGGGGGGGGGGGGGGGGGGGGGGGGGGGGGGGGGGGGGGGGGGGGGGTCTGTGAACCCGAACAGAGCAACTCCGACCCCTTTGGAGAAGTGATGGAAGGAGACTAATTCCTTTACTGACAAGAATAGTTGATTTCAGTGGAGGGAATTGTCTATTTAATTAATTCCTCTCATTTGCGGTGATTAATTTTTTTTTCGATGATCTCCAAGGTCTTGAATGTAATTAAGAGTCTGGGAAGACATTACGGGGGTGAGGGGCAGAGGGGGAGGGAGAAATTCAAGGACAATTAACTGGAAGGATTGATAGGATTTAAAATATTCTAATTCAAATATTTTACTTATTTTTGTTTATAATCCAGGGCTGAATGAGACTGTATAATTTTTTTTGGTGCTTTTATATTTTAAATGAAATAATTTAAATTAAAATCCTGTTGAATTTCTAAAATGAAAATTGTGTTGGATTTCTGTTGGAAGTTCTGTTAGTTTTCGTCTGATTCTGTTGAAAAATTCCACTGCTTTTCTGCGAGTTTTTTTTGTAAAAATAATCAATAGAAAATATTTTATAGGAACGATCGATTAATTTGGATTTTGCTATGTAACTTATTGTATTCAAATATTTTTTATAGTTTTTTTTTGTTTGACTTTTATAATGAAAGGAGAAAGAAATGAAAAAACTTGGAAATTTCATATAAAGAAATCTCTATAGAAAATATTTTGATAGAAAATGAAATATAGAAAAATCCAAATTTAGTGATTTTCCCTGTGAAATATCTTCTATTGAACATTTTTATTGAAAAAAAAACTTGGAAAAAAGCTGCGGAAACTAATAAAATTTCCAATAGAATTTCAATAAAAATCCAATAGAATTTTATAGCGACTTGACTAGAGTATTACGCAGGGAAAAAATTAGAAAATTAGGGAAACTTGCCGAATTCGCTAGACAATTCTATTGGATTTCTATTGAATTTTCTAGTAATTTTTAGCCGATTCTATTGAAATGTCCAATAGAAAATATTCTACAGAACTTATTCTATGGCGGCATTTTCTATAGAATTTTCTCGGCTCAAATTTTCCAAGTTTTTTTGCTTGATTTTCTTGAGGAAAAAAAAAGAAAAATAGAAAAACAGAATGAAAATTTCATCCGAGGGAAATCTATAGAAAATATCTCAATAGAATAAGTTGTATAGAAAAATGAAATTCTATTGACGTTTCCTATAGAGTATTTTTCATTGAACATTTCGCAAGGTTTTTCTATGAATTTTTTGTGGTGCGTGGGCATTAATCATCCCCATTATCATCAAAAAATAATTATCCCTCATTACTCTTCATTAAAAAATAATTTCCCTGAGGAGAATACGATTCAGATCCTCGAAATGCATAAAATTGTTGCAAGTTTAATTTAATTTCCTTCAGCTCCCTTCCATTAATACAATTTTAATTTCTGTTTCAGGGAATACTGTTAACTCACAACACAACGGCGAGGGTCATCGAGTCTAATCAAAGTTTAGTACTCCAGAGTGTAACGAGAAATAGTGCTGGCTACTACGTATGTGCAGCAACGAACTCATTGAGGGAAACCCGGAGCGAACCACTGCTCTTTCGCGTTAAATGTGAGTAATACAGTTAATTAACTGTTGAGTCGTTTACATCAACTTTACCTTTACCACAAACCATTCCCTACTGTCGAGTTTATTTACATAAATTAAAATTACTTTCTGCGGAGAAGTGGACGAAAAAGATGAGTCGACATAATTTCACATGAGTTTTTGATTATTTGTAAAAATATAATTAACTTTCATTAACAGTTTCGTGGGAGTTTTTAAAAATGCCTGAGTATGTAGACGGTGAAGAGACTAAATTTGTAAACACGTAACACTTAGAAAAATACTCTTGAAATTTCCTGTTCTATAAAGAACATATGCCGTAAGCTGTAGCGTAACGCTCCAACGGAAAAGACCTTGAAACATGGAGATTTGATGAAAAATCGATTTTTGATTTTCGGGGCCATTACAATAACTTCCCTGCCGGGAAGTTAAAAAACATTATTCAAAAATTGATTTCCATTCGGTGCAAAAATTTGACATTTAGAGGTTAAACGCAGAGATTTTGACCGAGTCGAATTTTTAAAGAATTGTAATTTTTGATGGGGGCAAAGAGGCACAGAACAAAAATTGTTTAAATGTTTGACATGGTGGAAAGTAGGAATTCCAATTTTTTCAGATTTTTTCTCAACTACGCTCCTGCGTAAAAAATTAAAATCGAAATAGAACGGCGCTCGTGCCATGACGCGACCGATCGAGGGTTAACGACGAATTGGAAAGTCAAGAACTCGAATACTGCATCTATCGGACGGAATAGGAACGCGTGTAAGTAGGTTGCGAGCCCTATCTCTCCCAAGGAGCTACTGTCGAGTGGCGAAAATGTGAACCCGTGCAAGTAAGGTTGCGATCTACGCCCCGCCCCCCATCTGAGTTCCCAATAATTTACAGGAAATTTCCATCGAAATCTTCTTATTGATAAATCAGTCAATTTTCTTGAATATTCAGTAGTAATACCACGAGACCTCCAAAATTATTGGATATTTCCCGATTGTTTTGTTGCGTGGCAACGAGAGGAGGAAGTTTTGCAGATTAAAATCCCGAGCACGCAGCGCGAGGTTTTGATTGTAATGAAAATATTTCCATTAAAATTGATTAATTTGTTTATTTCCAAGAAAAAGATTGTGAAAATTAATAGAAAAATTGGTAATAATGAATTCGATGTGGGATTCTTCTGAGTACGCAGAATTTTTTTTACAAAAATTCAAAAATTCCCTTCGACTTGGAGATGTTTTTCAAAAACTGCACCCAAAAGAGAGCAAGATCTCACTATAAATTTCAAATTTGAAATTTCACCGGTTTTTCGTAGCAAGGGTTAACTTGCTAACGCGGCCATCGCCCGAGGGCCTTCAGCCAGGGAATGTTGGATGTGGAGTGGATTTTTCAGTTCAAAATTCCGTGGAATATTCGATTTGAAAATTGTGTTGAATTTACAGTTGAATATTATGTGGAAAATTGTGATGAAAAATTGGTGTGGAATTTCGGCCCGGCCGGGGCTCGAACCTGGGAGCTTGAGGATATGAATCTCATGCTGCTACCAAGTGCGCCACACAGCCGGGTTAATCTCACTATATTTGCTTCTCTCTCTTTTTCCATCTTCACCCTCCTACCTTCGGAACCTCTCAAGTGTTAACCAATGAAAGTAAATATAAATGCGAAAGAAGAGTCGACGTGGTGGGAAACTTTATAAAGGGGTGCCCTTGAAGGTGTTACTGATGGTGAACAAATAAAACGAATAAAAAACTCAATCTTCTTTAAATGTGAACAAAGGCTCCTTTGATCGAAATAAAGAATTAACTAGAAATGAAACGACAATTTAGACGGAGATGAAAATGAATTTATTATTCATTTCATATAATAAAAACATTTCCATTGAAATTAATTAATTAATTCATTTTTAATAAAAATATTAATAAAAGTAATAAAAACATTTGTAATAAAGAATTTGAATAAAAATCTTGTTAAAACGAATAGAAAAATTAGAAAGAAAAAACTTGATGTCGGATTCTTCTAAATGTGGAAACAATTTTTTTATAAAAATTGAAATATTTCCACGTATGAAAAAATTCAATAAAAAAGCTTAGCGAATTCACTAGGAAATTCTATTGGGATTCTAATAAAATTCTAGGAAATTCTAGGTAACATTCTCTTGGAATTTTTTGCAAAATCCCTGCCGAATAATTTTAACAGAAACAATCTTAAGAGAAAAATTCAAACAGTTGACTGTTGACTGTTTCTATCAAATATCTGATAGAATCAGCGCAAAAACAAATAGAATTCAGCACCGAAATGATAAAACGGTTTAAATCGATTTTGACTATTGGCCATTTTTCAGTGAATATCTCGGAGTCTAAGAGAGATAACTAAATTTTTGTTAGAACCTTTTTTGTAGCACTCAATTTACTCTAGAAAAAAGATTATGACGAAACTTTCGTTATCTCCTTTAGATCCGGAGATATTCTTCAAAAACTCAATTAAGAGATAAGTCGACTTGAACCGTTTTACAACTTCACTACTGAATTTTAACGAGAATTCCCTAGAATTTCAATGGAATCCCCGTATAATTTATAGAGAATTTCAATAGAATTTTCTAGTGAATTCGCTAAGCTTTTCTATTAAATTTTTTCGTACGTATCCCTTTAATTTGGAGATATTTTTCAAAAACTGCAGCCACACGAGAACAAAACCTCTCTATATTGCCTCTTCATTCTAATCCTCCCTCCATCCGCATACTCACTCTCCCACTTTCGTATCCCCTCAAGTCTTAACCAATGAAAGTATAAGTGTGAAAGAAGAGTCGACGATGGTGGTGGGAAACTTCATAAAGGGATGCGCTTGGAGGTGTTACTGACGGGGAACAAATAAAAAGAATAAAAAAGAAAACTCAATCTCTTGTGAATATTTCAAACATACTTAAGCTCGCCTACATTTTTTATGCCCAATTCTCGGGTTATATCGGCGAGAATACGACGTGCCGAAGAGGGTGGAAAGAATGAGGGTCCGAGGAGAGAAATTGGAGGAGCTAGCAAATTTTTTTGTTGGTTTTTTTTTCCCTCCAGCTATCGAGAGGGGAATAAAAATTTTATGTTTACGACTGACCGAAGGTACTCGGGTCCTTGTAATTTTTTTCCTGGATCTGGATTCTTTTTTCGTTTTGAGAGAGGGTTTATCAGGCTGGGTTTATGGGGGGTGGGAATATTTGAATTCAGGAAAATCGGGTCTGGAGGAAGTACGTTGAACCTTGGGGGATGCTTCGGCTGGGATGAGATCTGAAAATATCGTTTGCTATCGAAATTCCATTTTTTATGGGCGGGGGGGAGGCGCTGTATACAGAAAAGAGGAAAAAATGGATGGGGAGATATTTTTTGTTGAGCAAAGGTTTTATTGCTCCATTTTTTTTAATTTGCACATTTCCTTTTGTCCATAGAAAAAAAAAAAGTTTCTGTTTGTGAGGATCCGTTCCATTCTAACATGTAAAAAATAGCAAATCCTGAAGTAAAATTATTTTGTCACCAATTTCCACTGGCGCAGCCCTAAGAATACACCCAAAAAATAATATTGTTGCCTAATGGGTGCAGACTTTACAATATCTCTCTTTATTATAGAAATCCAAATCGACGTCCGGCGATAAAAATTTGGTACTCGAAATTAAGACTCCACAATTAAGGGTCACGAGGTTCAGATTCAGGGTCATGATGGTCAGAATAGGGTCACGAGCGTCAGCATAAGGGTTACGAGGGCTAGAATAAGGGTCAAGTTTAGAATAAGCGACATAAGGGTCACGAGGTTCAGAATCTGGGTCGTAAGGGTCAGAAAAAGGGTGACGAGGTTCAGAATCAGGGTCGGAAGGATCGGAATAAGGGTCACGAGGGTCAGAATCAGGGTCGTAAGGGTCAGAATAAGGGTGACGAGGTTCAGAATCAGGGTCGTAAGGGTCAGAATAAGGATCACGAGGTTCAGAATCAGAGTCGTAAGGGTCAGGAAAAGGGGGACGAGGTTCAGAATCAGGGTCGGAAGGATCGGAATAAGGGTCACGAGGATACGAATCAGGGTCGTAAGGGTCAGAATAAGGGTGACGAGGTTCAGAATCAGGGTCGTAAGGGTCAGAATAAGGGTGACGAGGTTCAGAATGAGGGTCGTAAGGATCCGAATAAGGGTCACGAGGATCAGAATCAGGGTCGTAAGGGTCAGAATAAGGATCACGAGGTTCAGAATCAGAGTCGTAAGGGTCAGAAAAAGGGTGACGAGGTTCAGAATCAGGGTCGGAAGGATCGGAATAAGGATCACGAGGATCAGAATAAGGGTCACGAGCGTCAGAATAAAGGTTTTGAGGGTCAGAACAAGGGTCACGAGGGCTAAAATAATGGTCAGGGTCAGAGTCAGGGTCACGAGGGATATAATGAAGGTTATAAGGGTCAGATTAAGGGTTCCAAGGGTCAGAATAAGGAAGATGGTCAGGTGTGGGTCATATTGATGATGGGGGTCATATTGAAATGAGATTTTCAAACGTTTTGATATGAAGCTTGAACGTCTTAAGGTGATAGTTTCAAAAGTCTTGATGTGAGACATTCAGTCTCAATTTGAGATTTTTACAAGACTGACTGAGATCATAAACCTCAATATCACGGATGAAAAAATTTAATAACAAACCTAGCGAATTGGTTAGAAAATTCTATTGGATTTTGATTGAACTTTCTATTAGTTTTTGGCCGATCCTATTGAAATTATTTATGAAGTTCAAAGAAAAAATCTATTTAATTCAAATAAAGAAATGTTCTTAATATGAGAAAAATCTGTATTTGTTATTAATGAAGAATTTATTTGGATCAAATAATGATTTACTAACGATACAAAACCATTTATTTAATGGAAAACTATTTATTTAATGTAATGTTTCTTCAAATGAAGAAACAGTTTTAATTTGAATAAAAGCATTATTTCATACTATTTAAATAAACTTATTAATTTGATTCAAATAAATCATTTTTTGGTTTAAAACGTAAAAATTTTACTGAACCAGAATTTTTTATCGCTGTTATTATGAAAATAATGTGGTTAAAAGGCACCTGAGTGGATTTGTTCAGTGGAAATCGACGAAAGGGAATAGCTAGAAAGGGAATAATACAAGAGAGAGGCTGGAGGATGGGGTAGTTCTCAAATCGTTCACTGGTCTGCATAACTTTTCCGGGCTTTTACAACGATTTCTATACTGGGTCGCACGTTCTATAGAAGTCACAGCGTGACAAAACGCAGGGGCGTGCCTGGAAAACTTACATTACAACTTCGTTTTTGATATTTCTTGACTCTGTTGCGTGCGGAGCAAGTGTAAAGGTCAGTGATCGATTCGGCAAGACCTCGTTTAACATAACTCAAACTCGGTTTCAAAATTCTGCAAGTTATTCTTGAATTTTTAATGAGGGTGAGAGAGGGAAAAATGCAGCGTTTGAAGTTACTTCTATTGCTCCAGAAGGATTCGTTCTGATACGTTTAACTGAAGCGCAAAAATGAGGGAAAATCATTAATGACTCGAGAGTGCAAATACGGCATATGATTTTTGTTATCTAGATGATGATCTGTGGGGCGAGTTGAGCGGAAAATGTCTGACAATATTTTTGGGGAAAAAAGTAGAAGATATGAGAGAGGTCTCTACACGCACGAAAAAATTTAATAGAAAAATCTATAGAATTCGTTACAAAATTCTATTGAATTTCTATTAAACTTTCTATTAGTTTTTGGCTGATTCTATTTACATGTGCAATAGAAAAAATTCAATAGAAAAAGTTAACAAAATTCGATTTTTCTGTATAACTTATTTTTTTCATATATTTTCTATAGAATTTGCTTGACTCAAATTTTCTAATTTTTTTTCATTCTATTTTTCTTTTCTTCTCATCAAGAAAATCAAACGACAAAACTTAGAAAATTTGAACTGCGAAAATTCTATAGAAAATATCTTAGTAGAATAAGTTATATAGAAAAATGGAATTCTATTGACTTTTTCTACTGAATATTTTCTATTGAACATTTCAATAGAATCGGCCAAAACACTGTTTTTCATAGAACAGTTCAATAAAAATTCAATAGAAAAAGTTAACAGAATTCGATTTTTCTACAGTATAACTTATTTTTTTCATATATTTTCTATAGAATTTGCTCGACTCAAATTTTCTAATTTTTTTGTCATTCTATTTTTCTTTTCTTCTCATCAAGAAAATCAAACGACAAAACTTAGAAAATTTGAGTCGAGCAAATTCTATAGAAAATATCTTAGTAGAATAAGTTATATAGAAAAATGGAATTCTATTGACTTTTTCTACTGAATATTTTCTATTGAACATTTCAATAGAATCGGCCAAAACACTGTTTTTCATAGAACAGTTCAATAAAAATTCAATAGAATTTTCTAACGAATTCGATAGTTTTTTCTATTAAATTTTTTCGTCCGTGTAGACATGCGCCAGTAGAACCTTTCGTTCCCGAGATTAATGCGAAATTCATTCATCTAATTATCGAGTTGTTTTCAAATTAAACATCATGCTGTCGTGAGACTCTTGAGTTGATCCAGAAATTACTACTTGATGAATGAAAATAATAGATAATTGACGAGTTAGACGTGCAAATATGAAGCAATGAAAGAACTCTCAAGCTCGATGTGAGACTTTTATTATTCACCAAGGGTGAATAATGCGAGATTAAGTCAATATATTATTATTTTATTAAATTAAAGTTGTATGAACGTGTCCCAGTTGAGCCGACTCTAACAATGAAAAATAAGTTAAAAATTCCCAAATCAAACAATTATTTATCATTGATAATTTGTTATATTAATTCTAACTAATTCTAATCCGAATTTCGGGATTTTCACGATAAAATTAATCATGACATAAAAACTATTTTTTTCGAAAAACTGTGGTTTCCGGCATTTTAAATTTCTATTTCCGAATATTCTTTTTATAATAAATTATAGTACTACATCATTCGAATTAAAAAATTTAGTTTTAAAAGAGAAAAAAAATTAAATCTGCTGTATCTCTGTCAACTATTCAATTACAGCTCCCGCAGCGCTCATCGTTCATCTTCTCACTTGCATTTTACGGTGAGAAAATAAAAATGATAACAACAATTTCGAGGAAATATTTTAGTGGAATCGCTCATTTCGATTGTCCCTCATTTTGCTCTTTACCCCCTCGCCACCGGATTTACCTGCAACTAATGACAAATGGTTGTAACGGCAGGAGATAGCGTTAATAGTAGTAATGGTAACCTACCAGTCAGCCCCACTTAACGCACGCTCAAGCAAAGCACTTTAAACCCTCAATTTTACCCGGTTAAAAGCTCACCATAGGCTCGTCATTGCCAGTGGTTGTTTGATGAGTTTCCCACTATAGTTTCACGACATCGTTTTACCAAACCACGATTGAATCCGGGGATACGTTTGTGGGGAGCATTTAATCGGTTTAACGCCGCTGCAATTCCCAAATAAAGCATTCAAAAGTTCTTGTTTAACGGAGAACAATAGTGACACGTGTGAAAGAATGATATAGACATCTCTTTCAGAATTTTCTATAGGATCCGTTTGTTGCGATGATCTCTATATTTAAATGTTCAATGCGAAATATTTATTGAAAAAACTCAATGAATTTTATCTTATTTCACAATTTACCATTTTAGATATTTTTCCCTTAAATTTTGCGATTTATGCGAAGGAATTTCTGACAAAAATAGCATAACAAAATAAGTTATTTTTGTAATTTAGATAACAACGATTTGAAAACGTAATAGACTAGGGGGCTAAGCCCCCTCCTCGCTCTGCTCGCCAACACCAATATGACCCCCATTATCCTTATTCTGACCCTTGTAACTCTCATTATACTCCTCGTGAACCTTTTTTTGACCCTTAATTTTTGACCCTTAATTTCGGAGTCTTAATTTCGAGCATCAAATTTTCATCAGCAAAAGTCGATTTGGATTTTTACAATATAGAGAGATATGGAGCGCCTTATTTTGACCCTTGTGACCCTTGGTTTCGGCTCCCCGTGGCCCTTATTTGGACCCTTACTCTGACCCTTATTTAGATCCTGAATCTGACCCTTGTATTTTCATAATATAGAGAGAAAATATTTTATAGAAAAATCGAATTCTATCAACTTTTTCTATTGAATATTTTCTATTAAACATTTCAATAGAATCGACCAAAAACTAATAAAAAGTTCAATCGAACTACAATAGAATTTTCTAATGAATTCGCGACGTTTTTCTCTAAAATTTTTTCGTCCGTGAGATAAACATTATGTGTTTTTAACCCTAGTCTGGTCACCTCACGGGAAAATGCGACTTTAGTCACATTTGCGGCCGCCGTGTTATTTAGGCTCCAGCGTTGCCGAATCCACTCTACACTTCCCGGGCGCGTTTAGCGAGTTCCCGACAACGTCGCTCAACAGGCAATTCCATTTAACACGGGAAAAAATTCTTCTCCTGTTGGAAATAATTTTTTTTCTCCCAGAATTAAGGATACAATATTGAAAAAAAAAATACTAGAATTTTCCAGATACTTCAATTGACGAATTCAATTTTTCTCAAATTTTTCCGGTCAACCAGTCGATGGCAAGGTGAATAAAACTACGTGTTGCGGCAATTCCCTCGCATGGTGACCAGTCTAGGGTTACAGAAGACTACGTATCGTTATATTATAGAATCTTTCACAATAGATTCTCAAAATTCCTACAAATATTCCTACAAAGTTTATAGAACGTTATCTTGAAGAGAAAATTCCCTTTCCTATAAAAATCCTGTTTAAAATCCCGTGAGGAAGTCTCACAAGTTTTTCATTTATCATTTTTTCATCTGGATTTCGCAGTTGCTCCGGTGTGTAAAGAGGACAGGATTGTCGTTGTTGGGGCATCAAGAGGTGAATCGTTGAATATCAGCTGCAGAGTGGAGGCGGATCCCCCGGTGAGAAACTTCCGGTGGAAGTTCAACAACAGTGGGGAGACTCTTGAGGTGTCACCAAGGAGATTCACAATACCAAGGCCAGGTGACACCAATGGGGTTAGCGTGCTTAAGTACACACCGGTCACTGAGCTCGATTATGGCACGCTATCCTGCTGGGCGGACAACGAGGTTGGCGAACAGCCGAAACCGTGTCTATTCCAGATCGTTGCAGCCGGTGAGTAATTACAAATGTTTAATATTGACACATAAAAAAATACATATTATTGAATTTACATAAAAATATGAATAATACATATTATTGAATTTATAATGTAGAGTGGAGACTTTTGAGTGAAAATCAGATAGCTGTTTATTTTTATATACTTATAATTAATTCTATAGTCATATGTTCTATAGAAATTCCTCTCCTTAAATCTAAGTTTTTTCATTTGAGTTTTTCAATCAGCAAAGAAAAACAATGCAGTTGACAAAATCAAGGAATTTATAGCAAGAAATTTCTACGAAAAATGTGTCAGTAGTGTAAATTATAAACAATATTTTCCGTTACATATTTCTATTTTTTTAACGAGCACGAAAGCTGCAGAATTTTGTAATACAAGCGGCGATAAATAAAAGGAACCATCAGCAGAAGTTTTATAGAAATTTAATAAAAAATTTTGGTGAATCATTTCGAAGAATTTTAATACTTTTTTTATTTGAAATTCTTCAATTAAAATAATCCACATGAGGAATTCCATGGGAAAGTGGAGCAAAACATTTCTTGTTGTTAATTTTCCTGGGAGAGAGAGCATTCGACATTCAACCAGTAAAAACCAATGCTCGTTAGCGTAGTAAACGTAGGAAAATCCTGCCGTCGACACGGACATTGAAATAAAATGGCCCATACCATTTCAACAGATTCCTCCCTCATTCTGGGTCGAGAGGTGTACTTACATAATCACCAATACCATCAGTTCAGCTGGGCGAGACTCGCCAGGAATATTAAGCAACCTTTCATGCCTCCATCAAAAAATCCCACATCCTCGTGTTGCATCAGTGGGATTTTATAATCCCACATTTTACCAAAATTGGGAACAGAAAATGGGGGGAAAAGAATTATGGTAATTAGAGAGGACGAGATTAATCAAACTAGAGAGGATTTTGTAGCACTGGAGAATAATTTTAGTGTCATTTTTGGTAGACATGCGATTGCTTCAATAATAAATAGCTTTCAGAAAGATCATTTCAGAAGATCTTGCTCAGTAGATTGAAGAATTTATTTATTCATTTATTTATTTGTTTATTTATCCATTTATTTATGTAATTATTCATTAAATTTTTTTTTTATCCAGAGCATTCAAGCATTCGATTTGTTCTCCTAAAAAGATTACAATGCTAAAAATTATTTATTTATTGAACACGAAAATTCTGAATCTATTCCATTTCATAACTTCACACATTATTCGAAATTTTAAATGCCGAAAAATCGAATTCTGTTAAATTTTCCGACAGAATATTCTCTATTGGACATTTCAATAGAAGCGGCCAAAAACTATTAAAACTTCAATAGAAATCCAATAGAAGTTTTTAACTACTTCGCTAGGTTTTTCGATTAAGGATGTTAATCCAAAATCGCAAGTAGTTGAAAAAAATTGATTTTTTTAAAACTTAGAGATGAAGATATTCCCTTTACGTTGATACAAATTTCAATCCACCAACCCATGTTCATTATTTAGAAATGAAATAAACAAAATGCACCCAATGCATGGGCTAACATGCGCTTATATGGGATAAAATCATTCAAATATTTCCTCTTTTTGCCCGGGTACCCCAGATTTTTCTCTGGCCATTAAATTCAGTATGATTTTACACTGTAGGTGAATTATCAATTTGAACATAAATTTCATAAAAGCCCCTGTATAAGGAAAACTTAGTTCATTCATTTCTACCGAGGTTATTGCGATTAATGTTTTTTAACGATAGGAAATTTAGTTTTATTTGTCAGTAGTGAAGTGGTAAAACGGTTTAAGTCGAAATCTAAGGGAGATAGCTAAATTTTCATCAAGACCTTTTTTGTAGCATTCACTTTGCTCTAGAAAAAAGTTTATTACGAAAATTTCATTATCTCCTTTACTTTCGGAGATATCCTTCAAAAACTCAACTAAGAAATGAGTCGACTTAAGGGGAGACTACTATGAGTTTTAAAAGACGTGGGTGATTGGCGTGAGACTTTTCATACATTGAAGATCGATTATATACATCTGAAAACGAATAATTGGTGCAAAAAGAATTTGTTTTATTGTTCGTTTGCCCGAAAACGCTTAAAATGCCAAAAACAGTGCAGGACCTCCAATTTTTGAGGTACGAAGGATTTTTTTTTTTCAAAATTTTCGGAAAAATATGTAGAATAACAATAACGAACTATTTTTTTTTAATTCGCCTCTTACATGGCTAAATTTGCTTTTTTTGTATTTTTGTACACAAATAGTGAATTTTTTTATATGAAAAAAATCAAAATCGCTATGTAGGAGTGGAATTCCAAAAAACGGGCTTCCAAAAAAAATCTTTAGTAGCTAAAAAATTGGAGGCCCTGGACTGTTTTTAGCATTTTAAAAGTTTTCGGGCAAACGAACAACAAAAAAAAATTTTTTTGCACTAATTATTCGTTTTCAGATCTATATAATCGATCTTCAACGTATGAAGTAGTCTCCTCTTAAATCGTTTTACCACTTCGCTACTGATGTTCTGCCGTCAGCCGAAAAAATTACAGAATTTTCCTTGACCATGAAAAAAAAACACATTAATGGACAATTTACCGACACCGCCTAAACATCCTTAAATTTTTTCGTGGGCGCATCAGTGAATTTCTCGATAAAGAAATTGTTCCCCAACTTTGTGTGATGAAATATTCCAAAAACATGAGACGCAAATTTGCGAGAATAACGTTAATTAAAGTGGCAAAACTAATTTGATAATGAGAGATGTATTTGGATGCTGCTGTGTTGCAGGTAAGCCCTTTCCAGTGCGTAATTGTACTCTCGCGAATCAGACGTATACGAGTGTGGAGGTGAAATGTGTCCCTGGGTATGACGGGGGATTACCTCAGAAGTTCGTCCTCGAGGTTTATCACGGGGATTTCGATTTTTTGGAGACTTTGGAGCCAAGGTGGAATGTAACCAGTGAAGATCCTTTTTTCGCACTTTCGGGACTGGAGGCTTCGGTGGACGCTGGGGTCCATGTGGCGGTTTATGCGCTCAATGCCAAGGGACGGAGCCTACCGATGGTGTTGAGTGAAGTCACTTTTCGAGATGCGGAGAAACGAACTGGTAAGTCAATCTAATATACCATTTTTTATTTTTTTGTAGTGCAGGGAATAATAGCGGGGGCGTGCAGTTGACAGATCAATGAAAACATGTCGGCTTTCCCCACACGGAAAAATTTATATTTTGAAAAGTATATAAAAACATATCTTAAATTGGCCCAATTTATATATAAAATATATATAATAATGATATAAATAATAAAATATATATAATATAATTTATATAAAAAATATATAAAATATGTGTGGCCTATTTTTTTTAATGTTTTATATATGTTAAAATATATTTTATGTCACACGGCGATAAAAGTATTATGTGGCGAATGTGGCTTTATAATCCGAGTCTTCGGCTACATTCGCCAGATAATACTTTTATCGCCGTGTGACATAATATACTATTTTCCATATTTTTATATATTCTTTATCAATTTGAAAAATATATAGAATTGGCCCATATTATATATATTTTTTATATTTTTTTTATGGGGGTCGAGGAGTTTAAAGTAGCTCTATCTTTGCGGCACGAGTCATTGAGTGCTTTCACAATAAAGAGATTCTGAAAATTGTTTTTTTATGTCTCAATTAGTGAAATGAATTATAGCGGTCATGAACGTAAGAATCATTTCGTTCTATAATTTGTTTAACCCTCGATCAGTCGGTCAATGAGCGCAGCACCGCCCGTTTTCATTTTTTTATATTTTAGCGTGGTTCTCGATGCTTAAAAAGTCTGAAAAAATTAGAATTCCTAGTTCCATCCTTTTATTAAGCATTGGCGTTGTCCACTTTTTTCGGGAAATTCGTTTAGCTAAAAAAAGAAAAGAAACGTCAAACGGACAAAAAAGCGGCGCGGCACCGCCCGGTGCGAGTGAGTCCCTGTCGACCCCTCGAGTGACAGTGTTGCCACATTCACTGCCACACTTGAACTGCGCGCATAGCGGTAAACGTCAAGGTGGCAACAACGCGCTCGGTTTAACCCTAGTCCGGTCACCAAACGCGATCCTGCGAATTTGGTCACTCTACACTGCCCGGGCGCGTTTAGCGAGTTTCCAGCAACGTCGCGTCATGAGCAATTTCATTTATAACATAGGAAAAAATAAGTCATTTGTCCGAAATAATTTGTTTTCTTAAGGAATTTTTGGAAATAAATTGTTCTAAAAACTACAATAATTTTTTAGATACTTCAATTGACAAAGTCAATGTTTTTCAAATTTTAAGGTTAACCAGTCGACGGGGTTTCCCTCATAGGCGGATGAATTTAGGGTTAACTCAGAGGTTAAAGGGGGATACATAATTCTCGGAATTTTATTCCCCCCCCCCCTTCAGTCCCTGTAGTATCTTGTACGAAGATTGGACTGTAAATTGTTCGCTCCGGCGGGCGCAAAGTAATCATTTCTCTACCGTTTCAAGGGAGGGAAAAAATGAATTCTGGCTTTACGCCTACCCAGGTAGGAATTATATAGGCTGACGATGGAAACAAGCCTATGCGAGCCTAGGTTTGGCGAGAGTCAGTGACTCAGGCCTGGGACGCGCTTGATGTCATCGTTCACTCGAGCCTGAAATGAAGGCGATTCAAAGGGCCATTGCCGAGGTTCAATTCAGGCGTAGCCCAGGTTTTGAGTATTGAGGCTCAGTACGTCGACTTATTCGAGCCTCTACAAGGCCTCAAAAATGAAAGTTTCGATTACATTCCTTAATTTTTATATCGATTAACGTTTCTGATGCTAATGAAACACTCGGAGGCGCCAGAAATGTCGAAATAAAAATTTTTTTTTCACCTGGGACCAAAGTGTCATCTTGGATTTTTCAGGGGAAAGTCGGCTGTCGGCAAAATCGAATTTTTCCGCCGAGTGAACGTTGATTCTGTATTTTCTGGCCCGCCTAATGCCACTGAGACCCTCACTTGCCCCAGAAATGCGGAAATAAAAAATTTTTTTTTTCACCCAGAGCCAAAGTGCCATATTTAGGCTTTTTTCGGGGGGAAAGTCGACTTTCGCCAAAATCGAATTTTTCCGCCGAGTGAACGTTGATTCTGTATTTTCTGGCCCGCCTAATGCCACTGAGACCCTCACTTGCCCCAGAAATGCAGAAATAAAAAAATTTTTTTTTTCACCCGGAGCCAAAGTGCCATATTTAGGCTTTTTTCGGGGGGAAAGTCGACTTTCGCCAAAATCGAATTTTTCCGCCGGGTGAACGCTGATTCTGTATTTTCTGGCCCGCCTAATGCCACTGAGGCCCTCACTTGCCCCGGAAATGCAGAAATAAAAAAATTTTTTTTTTGCACCCAGAGCCAAAGTGCCATATTTAGGCTTTTTTCGGGGGGAAAGTCGACTTTCGCCAAAATCGAATTTTTCCGCCGGGTGAACGCTGATTCTGTATTTTCTGGCCCGCCTAATGCCACTGAGGCCCTCACTTGCCCCGGAAATGCAGAAATAAAAAAATTTTTTTTTTGCACCCAGAGCCAAAGTGCCATATTTAGGCTTTTTTCGGGGGGAAAGTCGACTTTCGCCAAAATCGAATTTTTCCGCCGGGTGAACGCTGATTCTGTATTTTCTGGCCCGCCTAATGCCACTGAGGCCCTCACTTGCCCCGGAAATGCAGAAATAAAAAAATTTTTTTTTTGCACCCAGAGCCAAAGTGCCATATTTAGGCTTTTTTCGGGGGGAAAGTCGACTTTCGCCAAAATCGAATTTTTCCGCCGGGTGAACGCTGATTCTGTATTTTCTGGCCCGCCTAATGCCACTGAGGCCCTCACTTGCCCCGGAAATGCAGAAATAAAAAAATTTTTTTTTTGCACCCAGAGCCAAAGTGCCATATTTAGGCTTTTTTCGGGGGGAAAGTCGACTTTCGCCAAAATCGAATTTTTCCGCCGGGTGAACGCTGATTCTGTATTTTCTGGCCCGCCTAATGCCACTGAGGCCCTCACTTGCCCCGGAAATGCAGAAATAAAAAAATTTTTTTTTTGCACCCAGAGCCAAAGTGCCATATTTAGGCTTTTTTCGGGGGGAAAGTCGACTTTCGCCAAAATCGAATTTTTCCGCCGGGTGAACGCTGATTCTGTATTTTCTGGCCCGCCTAATGCCACTGAGGCCCTCACTTGCCCCGGAAATGCAGAAATAAAAAAATTTTTTTTTTGCACCCAGAGCCAAAGTGCCATATTTAGGCTTTTTTCGGGGGGAAAGTCGACTTTCGCCAAAATCGAATTTTTCCGCCGGGTGAACGCTGATTCTGTATTTTCTGGCCCGCCTAATGCCACTGAGGCCCTCACTTGCCCCGGAAATGCAGAAATAAAAAAATTTTTTTTTTGCACCCAGAGCCAAAGTGCCATATTTAGGCTTTTTTCGGGGGGAAAGTCGACTTTCGCCAAAATCGAATTTTTCCGCCGGGTGAACGCTGATTCTGTATTTTCTGGCCCGCCTAATGCCACTGAGGCCCTCACTTGCCCCGGAAATGCAGAAATAAAAAAATTTTTTTTTTGCACCCAGAGCCAAAGTGCCATATTTAGGCTTTTTTCGGGGGGAAAGTCGACTTTCGCCAAAATCGAATTTTTCCGCCGGGTGAACGCTGATTCTGTATTTTCTGGCCCGCCTAATGCCACTGAGGCCCTCACTTGCCCCGGAAATGCAGAAATAAAAAAATTTTTTTTTTGCACCCAGAGCCAAAGTGCCATATTTAGGCTTTTTTCGGGGGGAAAGTCGACTTTCGCCAAAATCGAATTTTTCCGCCGGGTGAACGCTGATTCTGTATTTTCTGGCCCGCCTAATGCCACTGAGGCCCTCACTTGCCCCGGAAATGCAGAAATAAAAAAATTTTTTTTTTGCACCCAGAGCCAAAGTGCCATATTTAGGCTTTTTTCGGGGGGAAAGTCGACTTTCGCCAAAATCGAATTTTTCCGCCGGGTGAACGCTGATTCTGTATTTTCTGGCCCGCCTAATGCCACTGAGGCCCTCACTTGCCCCGGAAATGCAGAAATAAAAAAATTTTTTTTTTGCACCCAGAGCCAAAGTGCCATATTTAGGCTTTTTTCGGGGGGAAAGTCGACTTTCGCCAAAATCGAATTTTTCCGCCGGGTGAACGCTGATTCTGTATTTTCTGGCCCGCCTAATGCCACTGAGGCCCTCACTTGCCCCGGAAATGCAGAAATAAAAAAATTTTTTTTTTGCACCCAGAGCCAAAGTGCCATATTTAGGCTTTTTTCGGGGGGAAAGTCGACTTTCGCCAAAATCGAATTTTTCCGCCGGGTGAACGCTGATTCTGTATTTTCTGGCCCGCCTAATGCCACTGAGACCCTCACTTGCCCCAGAAATGCAGAAATAAAAAAATTTTTTTTTCACCCAGAGCCAAAGTGCCATATTTAGGTTTTTTTTGGGGGGAAAGTCGACTTTCGCCAAAATCGAATTTTTCCGCCGAGTGAACTTTGATTCTCTATTTTCTGGCCCGCCTAACGCTACTGAAACCCTCACTTGCCCCAGAAATTCAGAAATAAAAAAATTTTTTACACAAGCAACTGTACATAGTCCCGTCAGTCTTTTTCATAAGTTGCTCTGGATTCATAAAAGGAGTTATGAAGCGATAAGAAATTATTTGAACACATATCCGTAAACATTAATATGATTTATTTAAAAGAAGTGAGATTGAGCCTTTAAAATTTTGTAATTCAAGGCTTGGACCAAGCCTTGGCGCCAAGCATTGTTCAAGCCTTACGGACTAAGTCTGAAACGAGGTGATCATTTTGGGGCTGAAGGAGGTCTGAGCCAAGGCTGAGCTCTAGCCTTGGTTGAGCATTTCAAAGCCTTACTCCAGGGCTTGATGAGTCCTGTTTCTATCGTCAATTCCTACCTGGGATATACCAAAATTGTGAAAATATTCGGTTCTAACCACAACCACAGTTAAATTTTCTTGAGATAATTGAAGTAAAAGTTACCTTTTCCGTCGAGTTTTTCGTTCAATAATGAATTCAAAATGACAAAATCCCTTGAAATTGCAGTAGAACTGAAATGTCACGTA